AAAGACATAGATCTACTAGAGAATTTACTTGAGGATATGGGGAGGCGGAAGGGTAAGCTGTGACAAAGCGAGAGAGTGGCATGGACATATATACACTATCAAACGTAAAATAGATAGCTAGTGGGAAGCAGCCGCATAGCACAGGGAGATCAGCTCAGGTGCTTTATGACCACCTAGAGGGGTGGGATAGGGAGGGTGGGAGGGAGGGAGACGCAAGAGGGAAGAGATATGAGAACATATGTATACGTATAACTGATTCACTTTGTTATAAAGCAGGAACTAACACACGATTGTAAAGCAATTATACTCCAATAAAGAGGTAAAAAAAAAAAAAAGATGTAAACTTTTCTTATCTTTCTGAAACTTTCTATCTATTTGACAGAGAGGACATAAAAAAAGAAGTAAACAATAATAAAAGATAAAGAAGATTTCCTATCTATTGTATTTTATTGAATCCTAGGCTGAAATTACCAATATTATTGGATAAATGAAAGTGGCTATGCTGTATTGAGGAAATGTAAATGATTAGATCCGTACACCTAGCCTTGTATGTCATCATGGAAATAAACTCCAGGATGAGGAAACAGAATTTACTAGATGTATAAGACAAAACAAATAAGTGTTGATTCTAAAATATAAACAACTTTTGTGGTCAAGAAATAGACTCTTTCACTCAATAATTATTTATTGAATACTCATTATATATCAAATATTGTACTTGACTATGAAACTACAAAGATAAAATAAAATTACTCCAGTTCCCTTCTTAAACTGGGAACAAGGATGTAGAGAGGCACATGAATAAATGCTTGCATGAATGAATGCAGATGAAGCTCAAAAGAAATGGAAGTTTCCAAAGCAGAAACAAAAGCAGTTAAAGCAAAAGAACATAAGCATGTATGAGCACGTACATTAATAATGGTATACATTTGACTGCCTAATGGATATGGGAACTTGTTAAAGATTATTTATAATAAATCAAAATTGAAGGTCAATACATACTAAATCTCAAATTTGCATTTAATTTGTATTTGTGATGTAAATAAGAGATCACACATTCCAGCATCACCCAGATCATTCATTTAATGCAGCAGGTAGTAAATACTCCCTTTTTAGCCAAACAGAAGACATTAGAGAACAGTAATCATAAAATAGTGTCAGGGGCTTTCTCAAAGAAAAATCCAAATATCTGAGGGATATTGTTGCATTTAGAAGAAATTATAAAATTTAGGCAAAATCTATTCTAGAGAAAACCTGTTCTCTTCTCCATCAAGTCCACATTGAAATTATTTGTTATAATTTTTTACAATTTCTAAATGGAAATTGACCTGGAAGAATAGCTGTCTAAAGATACTGCACAATTTTCATATGTTTATTATAGAAATGCCTTATTCCTTGTGTGAAATATGCTTGAGACAATTCCCAAAAAGAGTATGAGAATGAAAGTTTACATAACTCAAATGAACTATCAACAATGGGATAAGATTAATTCTATATATTTGGTGTTTTACAGATGTGACATATGTCCAGCATCTCTCTCTCATGTTCTCTTTTTAAAAATATTACAGCCAGGGAGGTAAAGACTTGTAAGAAAAGACTGAAGTCTCATTTTAACTTTATTCTTGATGTTCTTACAGGTAAAACCATCTTTTTACAAAACCTTTCAATATTTAATAAATGGCCAGGACTGAGGCTCTAGAGGAAGTTCCCTCATACCAAATTCTTTGACAGTCCAGCCTCACTGTTTTTCCACTTGGAAAAACTATTTACCCAGTAGCTACAAAAGGGTAACTATAAATATATGTACCAACCAAAGGATTCAGAACTAAAAAGCGCTAAATTAATGATAAACAGGCATTGAAACAAAGGAAGGAACCATGTGCCACGATGGTCTTTCTATTCCACTTTAGCTCATAGACTCTGTGTGTGTGTGCACGCACGTGCACACGCATGTGCACACTTGCATAGTGACTTGTAAAGATATTGTGTCTTCTTTGCCTAGTAAAGGAGTTTGGAAGTGAGAGAAAGAGCAGCACAATACGAAGGAAGAGAGAGATGAGTGTACATTAATCTAGGAGGGGACTAGTCATTAACAGTTTTCCCATATATTAATCATATTGCTGATGAAAACATGATCACCATAGAAATTCTTTTCGTGAAAGTGGTATCAGAAAGAATATGAGTTGAACTTAAGCTCAGGAATTTTCTGAAATAGAGATTATATATGGAATGTTATTCTTGGTATCTCCTTCTCCTTTACTATTGAAAGTCAATTCAAGAGTATTTTCTGCCCTTTTGAGTTGAGAGAAACTGCACCATATGCTCTGCTTACCCAGGCAGTGTAAAGCAAAGTGCTGAGCAATTATATGGTGGATTTGATCAGTTTTGACAGCCAGTCCTGAAACTCAAGACGGAATCCCCTGCTCTTTCTTCTGCAGCAGGTTCTCGGACTGAATTATATGACCAATTGAATCAAATTTCTACTTTACCTTGGCAATATCCTCACAAATCCTACAAGTGCAAAATGGCCTTCCTGATCAGTGTTAACAATTCTATGTGTCATGGTTATTTTACAACTTCCATATCAGCATACATGAAATAATGATGGATAAAAATATTTCAATGCCCTTTGAAATACTACAGATTGTCTTACACACCGAAATCATCCCAGAATGATACCTGTCCTCAATTCCTGCATCTTGTTTTCACCAAGTAAAATATTTGATCAGGGAGTCCTAGTACAACTTATAATCAGTTAAATATAAATTAGTTCAGGGAGTTCTTCTCATTCTTTCCTTGAAACATGTCCAAGAATCATGTGGGTTACCTGGATCATTTCCTTAGCATATTATCGTAATCATACAAGAAACACATGGCATTCACACTGACAGTATATCCTTTACAGTAATATATTAGTGAAATTGAGATGCCCTCAAGATAAAGGTCATTAACCTTAGCCACTGATTCTATAATCCAAACCCAAATAACTCTCTAGAGAGTCTCTAAGGGGATGGGTCACTCACTTTGGATACTCATAAGGCTAAAGCAATCTCCCCAAAACTTCTTAATGTGCGATGATCAGTTTAACTTAGAGATACATGCACATAGAACAGAGGGATGGGATCTCACTTCTGAGATGAAAGCAAATTAACACCGGAGCAATTTATCTTTCACAGCATATTATGGGTCAGTGTCAGCACGTCACAGATGTACACCTCATGAGGAACATAAAAAGACATCTGTGAGATGGGGGAAAATGTACCAATAGTATATATTCAGTCTAAGTTAGTAATGAAATTTCAACCACACCCCAAATGAATGTTTCAAATATACAAAGAAAAAGAGGAAAAATATCTCCAGATTAGTAATAGGCAAAAAGTTCTAGTTCATATATACTAGTGGACAACTAATTTGAGAGAGGAAAGGACACAAGAATGAGATAGAGAAAAAGGGAGAGGGGGAAAGAGAGAGAGAAAGAGAGAGAGAGAGGGATTTATCATTCCTCTCGATTTTGAAGCAAAATTAAATTAAAATATGTTCATGTTGAATTTTATAAGATACTGTTCCAAAGATTTTCTTAGTCATTTTCTGTTTTTACTATAGCTTCTGTTATGTCCACTGTCAGGAAAGACATGACTCATGCCATGACCACCATGAGGACCATGTGTTTTATCACTTCATGGCTCATAGGTGACTAGCCATATTTGGATCATGCCTCGAGTCTTATAACCCAGGTCACACAGGTAAAATCAAAATCAGACAATATCTCTTTTAATAAATCACTCAGGGAGTTCACCAAAAAGCTAGATTTATTCCTTTAAGAACCTAGTATTATGTAGGTAATCTCTGTAATTGCCACTGTTTCCAGTATTTACAATTGAGAGAAATGAAGAGAAATGAAGACAGACAGACAGACAGACAGACAGAGAGAGAGAGAGAGAGAGAGAGAGAGAGAGAAATGAAGAAAGAAAGAGAAACAGAAGAAAGACACAAGGAATTCATGTCAGAGAAAATACTTTAGAAATATTCTGTTTTATAGGTTGTCAAATATTTGCAGAAGACAAATATATCTCCTTGGAAAACACCTGGAAAATGATTTCTTTCTTATGATCACATAGTATGTGGTATGCTCTGCCCCGTCACCACATAAAAGAATTCACTTTGTTGTTTGTCTGTTTGCATGCTAGATTTTTAAAACTAAACAGGGAATATGTTTTTTAATTCTTTAATCTATCCTTTGGTCCAAGCACAGTGCCTGGCACATGAAAAGTTCTCAATAAGTATTTTTGGAATAAATGAAAGAATGGATAATAAATTATTTCAATTTCTTAGGCAGAAAGAAAGTTCTAGTTAATGTTATTGTTGTTACCAATTTTTGACAGGCTAATGCTTTTTCTGTGATATTTCCAACATGATTTCTAATTTATTAACACGTCCTGTGGCTGATCAAATTTTGCAGAGCTACCCATGCAAACAACAGGGTCAGGCTGCCCATAGATATGCTGGGAACCATGGTCATGATCTCCTTCCTCTTTTAGTTTGCATTCCAGAAGGTCAATCAGTTGGAATACATCACCATTTAACAGGGGATGATTTCCAGCCTTCAGGAAACAAATCTAGTGTAAAAATAGAAGGAAAATTATGCCTTTCTTATTCTTTTTTTTTTTTCCTTTGGGGATGGGTTTGGGGGTTTGGAAATTTAGAAGTTGTAGGGGATTAAAAGAGTAGTAAGTAAAGGATCAAATGAAAGTAAAGCATCTAATGAAATAGGAAGCGAAGACCAAAGAAGAAAGTATCAAAGTATAAGGAGGAATTAAGGTTGAGAAACCTGAGAAAAGAAAAAGTAAAAGTAAAGAGATCAGCAAATTATTTTATATAGTTCCACATACATTTTTTTTATCTGATGAATAATTTATTTTTCTATGATATTCACTCTAAAATACTTCAAATATTATATATCACTTTAAAATGAGATTCTGCAGATTCACAAAATTACTAACCTTCTCTGGTACAATTGATTTCATCACTGAAGTCTCCACAGTCATTGTCACCATCACAGGCCCAATGGCCTGGGATACATCTGCCACTGGAACATCTGAACTGATTATCAAAGCAGGACTGAACACAGCCAACCTCATCACTCCCGTCCCCACAGTCATCATCTGGAAAGAAGCAACAACAGCCAGGTGGTGAGAACTGGTCCATGGAGAAACTTTTCCTTATGAAATACTTAACATTTCTTTTTGGTATTGAGAGCTTTCTTTTGTTATTAAAAAAAGGAATGATAAATCAATGATCAACATTTCCCATGAGTAGTGGGAGAATTATTTTCATTTTTATATTGTTTATTTCTGATTGAATACCAACTGCTAAACTAAGGGGGAAAAATCCTTGACTTTGGATTTTGAAGCTTAACTTCCATTTTACTCAGAAATGACTAACCACTGACTAAATAAATCTATGCAACATGAAATAATTATGAAGTGGGAAGACAATGGTGACTGTAGGAATTTTATGAAATGATACAGCTTGTGATACAATTATTGCTGGAAAATTACTATTTAGACCTAGAACCTTTGTACCCCAGAGTTTATAACTGTATTTTTAATTCAGATCCTTTTTCTCCATTCTCCCACAAGAGGGCTCACTGTGTACCCTTCCTCCACTGGCTCTTAAGTGTGTATTTATATCAGGAAATTATTGTACGCTATCATTAGCAATGACTTATACTCTTTATTAACAACTGTTGCAGGAGGGAGGTGAGAGGAATGTGAAGTGAAAACAGATTAAATTGAAATCAATGGCTGAGAAGTTATCGATTTATGTATAATTCATTTACCTGTATTTGGCATAATTTAACATAATGATACAATTGAGTGAAGAAAAAATACCATTTGTACATAAAAAAAAAAACAAGGTGACAAAGTTGAGACCATGGATAATTCCAATATAATTTATAAACTACGCCATCCTGAGGTTATAGAGCGTTTTACATAAATGCTTTGGGGAGTCTGAATTGTCCAGGTTGTTTCCTCAGTTGTTGCTTTAACTTCATGTTTGTTGACTTAGGCTATGTCCAGCATAATATCTGAAAACAAGTCTCCATCACAGCCCCAAGGGACGGATATTGAGTTCCATTTCCCTTAATGCTAATCCCCATTGACGTGCCAGCTGCCCTCTCACCACTTGTCTTGGCCATTTTGCTTGACTCTGCAACCTCCTCTCACAAACTACCTCAGAAAGAGGCAAAGCTGCACAGCCAGCCAGGCCCCCAATCAAATCAGTGCAGTCTAGTGGACATTTGGTACTTGCCAGAGTCGCAGTGCCATTTACTGCTAATGCATCTTCCACTCTTGCATGCAAACTGAGTTAGTGGCTCACAAGTTGGGAATTCTGTGAAAGATAGAAAAACATCCAATAGGAAAGGTGTTATCGACTGTGTTTCACTTAATTTGCTTCTCATTTGCTAATATGATCAGAACTCTACCCTTCTCTTCCACAAAAGGCACAGAGGAAATGTTAGGTAAACAAATATAGTGGCAGTAACTTCTTGAGGACTTAGGATACACATACTTTTAATATCTTATTTATATGAGTACATTTCAGTGACTGAAAGCCAAGGAGAATCACTTGATGAAGGACTGTTTAGATTCATTCTACTGCAAGAAAAATAGATGTCAATTCCCTGCACCAAGGGACTCAACCTCCTCCCAGTGAAGAACAGCTGGATGAAGCTCTATATTCGTGGGCTTCAAAGTAAAGTGTGTGCTTTAAAAGGGAAAGGCCTTTTCTGAACATAGAGAGCCGAAGTAGGAAGGTTGGATCCAAGTTTGCCTGAGTGATGTCAACATAATAAGTTGAAAGTAAGAAAACAAACACAAAGAAAAAACTCATTAAATTTAGTTTAGTTGGTATCAAACAGTTATAGATTTTGAAAGTGTGAATTCTAAGTTAAAAAAAACCAGCAGCTGCATAGCACAGGGAGATCAGCTCCGTGCATTGTGACCACCTAGAGGGGTGGGATAGGTAGGGTGGGAGGGAGGGAGACGCAAGAGGGAAGAGATGTGGGAACATATGTATATGTATAACTGATTCACTTTGTTATAAAGCAGAAAGTAACACACCATTGTAAAGCAATTATACTCCAATAAAGATGTTAAAAAAAAACCCACAAAAATTCCCCTGAAAATAAACAACAGCAAAGAATTGGACTTCAAAGTAAAATTTTACTAAATTAAATCAAAAGACCTCCCTTCCTAACCCTTAGATAACTATGACAACAAAAATTAAAAAGCAAAACATAGAATTAGCACAGAAAACAATTCTAAAGGATTACTAGCCAATTCAAAGGACTGGTAAATTCAGCAGACAATTTTGTCATAATAAGATCAGATAATCAAGACTGACTGCAAGAAAAAAAGAAAGAAAAAAGGTAGTAATAATAAGAGAAAATATAACTGCAAACAGTTCATCCAAGGAATTCAGAGCAGCTTACTAATATTTCCCAGGAGAAAGTTTTTCATATGGTGAAAGTAATTCATGTAGAGTTTACATGGTGTGCTCAATATCAGAACTTTTATCTCCCAAGACAATATTCATGGAATCATAAACCCTCACACACACAACCTATTTAATAGACATTAAAAAAAATAGAAAAAGAAGAATGAAAATCCCCCATCATTTCACTGGCATAAAGGCAGAAGAAAAGGACACATGGAGACAGAACTGTGGCCCATATTCTTTATTATTGTTCCTCTTATAGGTGGAGCCAAAGTCATTTTGTGGCAACACTTGCTTTTCTCTCTAAGACAAGTTACGTAGAATCATAGCCTATATTTGATGGCAGGGGGACCAGCAATATTTTCAAGTTGTATTTTGTAGCTTGTCTCAGAGCTACCAAGGGGGCAGAGCAGCTGGACTCGGGCTGCCCAAACTCCTTCAGCCAAACCTGTTCACATCTTACCTATCTACACAATTATTTATCTACCTATAGTTTTAATTTTGGAGTTTTGAGTACTATTTTATTTGAAGAAAAATATATGAATAATAACAATATATTTCTTTGCTCAAAAAAAAGAAAGAAAACCATTGATTATATCCAATTATTTCAGCCCTAAAGAAACTGAGAGCATGAAAGTTAGACTTGCCTAAAGTTATATGTATTTCCTTAATGGAAAATAGGTCTTTAGAATTCAGTTCATCAAGCTCTTCATCTATCACTCCATCTATAACAACCTCGTACCGATTTCCTACCTTACTTTCATTTACCATCCATGAATTACCTGTTATCTACTCTACCCATATGTATTTTCAGCTTAAAGGTTAAATATTTCTCATAAAATGTTTCACTGTGTAAAGGAGAACTTCCTTGTGTCTAGCAGAAATGAGGCCCTAAACACTTTCACTTCTTTAGCATTTGGTTCACAAGTTTTTGTCTGTACCAGTCACTATTTCATAATGTTGGAAATTTCAATCATTTTGAATCTTGATCTTCTCTTTAAATTCTATAATACTATCAACTTTTGATTTATTTTTATAGGGCAGATCATACCAAGATTTACTCAATCATTTTTGTCACACTTCTTTAGGCCTTTTCCTTTGTTTTTCTTTTAAGTTTTTAAACACAGTCCTGACCCAGGTACTCATTCCATACAGCCTTAAAGGCTAAATCATGGGGCTCACACATGCATGGGCAGTTTGCTCCCTACACCTTCTCTCCATCATCAGGCCCTCTGGACTGTTGGATAAGGCTGACCTCACACATCATGCCGTCTTCCCTGGGCAAGTGGTTCCCTGCACTGCACCATTTATAAGAAGATTTGAATGGTAATTACCATCGGACCCCATATGGCCTTGCCGTCCTCATGGGACTTGGGCCTATTTGGCAGTCATGCTTCCCAGGTTTTCCCTCAAGTCCTCTTCTGGATCATTTCTTTTTTAAGAGGACTTTACAAAGTAACTCCAGGTAGTGGTTCCACTTGAAAACTATGTTATTGAGTATTTTCTTAGTACTTCAACCAATGAAGTACACTAGTGAAGGTATTTTCAGGAAATAAGAATTTTAAATGACATTGCTATAAGTCCTATAGAATTTTTGCATTTTCCCTTAAAAACCATGGCATTTTAAAATTAAAAGTCTACATCAATACATATTTTTGGCAAATCACTAGTAACTAGAATTAATAGCAAAATGCAAGCAAATTCATTTTGCATGATCCTGTCAAAGACCTATTTTGTATATTATCCCCAAAATAATATTTCAAATTCAAATCGGAGGCTAAAATATTCACCCTTGTTCTTAAAATGGTGAAACAATGAGTTACCTTTGGAGCCTGTAAGAACTCTCCCTATCATGTAGCTGAGCTGGGAAAAGAGAGTCAGCCAGGATGATCAGCAGTGATATTCAGTGAACAGACTGCAAGTGATATAGCCATTGTTTTTCTTTTTTTTTTTTTTGCGGTACGCAGGCCTCTCACTGTTGTGGCCTCTCCCATTGCGGAGCACAGGCTCCGGACGCGCAGGCCCAGAGGCCATGGCCCACGGGCCCAGCCGCTCTGCGGCATGCGGGATCCTCCCGGACCGGGGCACAAACCCGTGTCCCCCGAACCAGCAGGCGGACTCTCAACCACTGTGCCACCAGGGAAGCCCATATACAGACATTTTTAATATTGGTAACTTATGCAATGACAATATAAATTGCTATTATTTCATAAATAACATGTAGGGAAAGTAGTGGCTTCATACCAGATCAGGTTGACATGGCATCCTTGACTACCTGCTTCTTTACTTCTTAAAAAGCAATTTCTTTGTGTGAATTTACCTTTGAGTATATCCATCTGAGGTACTGGCATAATATCAACAATGGAAATGATTCTAAAACTGAACAAATCTTTACTAAATTTTATGATTACCAAAGCCATTTCTTGAGATATGAATTTTAGAATAAGTGTAACTTTTTGAAGCCAAAACATGTGATGAGAGTCTAAATATGATTCAAAGATAGAAGTGATAAGGAGGCAATCACGGATATGCAGCGATAAAAGACTATATCAAAAGCCATGCACGTAGCAACCCAACAAATACTCAGACGTATAAGAGAAAGCACTCTAAAGAGAAATGAAAAATGCACAAGGCATAATTTAATCAATATTCCTAAGTATTTTTTTAACTTGACAAGATAATGAAAACTTATGTTAATCTTTCAAGAATCAACATGAATTTTGTCAAAAAAGTGTTCTCCTCCTTAGATAAATAAGTGCTTAATGTTTAGAAGATGTACAGTAGACATGAATAGAGACTTTATATGAAGTATCAACATAAGTTATGATTAAAATGAGTAAGCAACTAAATGCAATGTGTAAGATATGATGAGATCTAATTTTTAAAAATAGCATTACATCTTTAGGCATCTATAATAGATTAATTTACATTTTAAAATCTCTTTTCTGTAAACTTTGGAGCATAATAGCCAACATCATAAGTTTTATTAGGAAAAGAAAAATCCCCCCAGGCATTTGGAAACTTCTGAAATTTGGCAATACAGGCATACCTCAATACAGGAGATATTGCAGGTTTGGTTTCAGACAACCTCAAATAAAACAAATTTTCAATAAAGTGAGTCACATAAATTTTTGGTTTCCCAATGCATATAAAAGTATGTTTACACTATACTTTAGTCTATTAAGTGTGAAATAGCATTATGTCTAAAAAACATACATACCTTAATTAATAAATACTTTATTCCTCAAAAATGCTAACCATCAGCTGACAACACACAAGCTTTCAATTTGTAAAAACCACAATATCTATGAAGTGCGATAAAGAGAAACACAATTAAATGAGGTGTACCATTGGTTGAGAAATTTCCCATGTGACCTTTAAGATTCTATCCACTTCTTAGATTCTAAGTCTAAAAACCAGCCCAAAAAAAGAATCTGGAAATTAGCTCCATAAAGGTAAAAACTTGCAAAATGAATAAAATAACTGAAAATCCAGTGTATCTTCACTCTCTAAGAAAAGGAGAGCCATACATCTTGTGCCCACAGTAAATACAACATATATACATGTGTAAAAAATTAATAAATAGGAACCTCAATTAAATAGAGTTGGGAGACCAGAAGGGGGAGCTCTCACACCCTGGGATGACAGCTGAGCCCAACAAGAAGAAGAAAGACTCCTTTTCTTTCCTGGCGATGAAAAGTCATGAACTCTGTTTGTATACGCCTCCCATCTTCCTTTTTCCCCTCTATAAAAGTGCTCTCCTCCCTTTATGGGGCTTTGCATGTGGCTCATCATGGTTGCAGACCCTGAATTGCAATACTCTGCTGATTCCGAATAAATCTATCTTTAGTGGAGAAATATCTGGCAGTCTATTTGTTTTAGGTCAACATATG